TGTATTATACACTCCTGAAATTGACGCGAATTATTAGTTTCGTTCCTGAACTACCTTTTTTTACTTGACTAATTGAAATTAAGTACACCTCTGATCTGCTACATGGCATGGCAAGTGGTCTCAAACTAAGAGCTTGGAACTGATCTTAGATTCTTAATACATAAAAAATCGAAAGAAATAACGAAAATTATTAATTTCGCTCCCGAACTATTCGCATAAACAACCAGAAAATTAGGCCTCACGTGTAATAACATTTGATTCATCGAGACAATGTGTTTGGCAATGTTGGATAACGACCTCAACGAGCCTTAAAAGTTTTTCACCCATTTATGTTTCACTTATATAGATCGGTTCAAGTTCCAATTTAAAGGCCGGCCACAAAATGCGTTATACGGTATAGTAGTTTATATAAGTGCTTTTCATTCATTCCATGCTTACGGTAAAGGGTGATAAGAGTTAAATTCACCTGAATGAACATTATAGATTTGTCCACTAATTTTGGTCATGCACGTTTCAAACTTTACGCACTTGCATGTATATATTAGCCATTAAAGTATCCTTCTACCCAACTATTTTCCTTTATTTTATTTATATATATATATATATATATATTTATTACAATTTCCATGTTAAAATAATCCACATTTATTAAAAATATATAGTTACGTCTAAGGTGTCGCGGCTAAATAATCGACATATGAAGACCAAAAATTGATAAAATACTTACTATACGAGATAACTTTAGATATGATCTAATAAAATCACAAAAATTGTTTGCATGCGCACATTAATGCATTTTTATAGATACATAAGATATACAAATATGGAAGGTGCTCGAGTGAGTATATATGTCGATACAAAAAGAGGAGGGGTGGGTGAAGGAAGGTAGTTAAATATAATTATGTTATGCATTAGATAAAGTAATTGAAATAAAGTTAATAAAGAAGGTAGTTAGTAAATGTTAATATTAATGGGATTTTGAGTTTGATAGGACCTTAATTAAAGAGAAACATGATTGTACTTTAGTGAAGGTTAAATTGAATTATGACTCATAAGGCAGAATTTGTTTCTCACCTACCCGACCCATCTTTGTGATGCCCACATCAAAAATAAAAATAAAAAGATTTCTGAATTTTATTAGCTTTTGGGACCAGTAAACAAAGAATCTTAGGCACCTAAATTTAGCTTTTCCTCTATTGACGTAACTAATTATCAAATCAATAAGACAACTAAGCACGGGTTTAATTATTGACACTGATAATGAAATTGTTTGCTTAAATTAGGAAATTTGGCGTTGATTGATGCAGCTTGACACTAGTTAGATGCCGTCTCATACTTCTGTAATTGCAAAATATATATAAGAATATTTGCTTTAACTAACGGGAAGATCTACTTAATTTTTCCTTTCTTTATTTAATTAATTTGTTGTTCTTCACACGATAAGTACATATTACCTTATAAATTTTTTAAGCATATACTATAGTACTAGTAACAAAATAAATACTACTCCCTTTGTTCCAATTTATATAAATTAGTTTGATTTAGCACGGACTTTAAGAAAGAAAATAAAATTACAATTATATTTCGATCTACAAATTTTTAATATAAAGAGATAATAATGGATCCACATAAGCTTTTTATCATTATCTCTATGATTCACTTATTTTATAGATATGAATTATGGTCTGGAGGACTTTTAATCTATAGATTTTAATATTTGAATTATGTCATGAAAGAATAATTAAAAGGCAAGGTCAACGCTTCCAAACGCAAAGGTCAACTTCTTGACTATTCTTTTGTATCTAATTATTTAATTTACGACATGGCTAGTTTTCTGTTTCTTTGTTTAATTTTTCTTAGTGAAAAAAATATTGGGAGTATCATACAAGCAACTTGTTGGGCAAATAAGATTTCATCTGGCCCTATAGCTGTAGTAGTGCTTCTTCTGTTTCTTTTTAAGTCAAATCAATATATAAAAGTCATCACATAGTGAAAGTAGTCAAAGTTGATAAAATAGGAACCGACCAAGATAAAGTTCAACAACTTCAATATAGATCATCAACATGAGTTATGATGATATAGTTACGATCCTTCTAACTTAAAAACTCTCTGGTTTGAGTTTCTAAAAAAAATAAAATCACATCGAAGTGTCATTTCTCAAAAATTAGCCCTACAACTCATGATTTGAATTTAATCAAGTATCAACCTGGGTACCCCAAATATCGAATGAACGGTAAATGCTTTAGATTTACTTTTTCCTAGGATTATGGAAATATATTGAAAACTACATAGAATTTGTCTTTGCAAACAAAATCATCAAATGTGTTTCTCATTAATTTCCTTTTCCTTTTGAGCTAACATTAGAAGAGTTGAAAACCGTTGCAGAGCCCAAATTTTCAGTCTGCAAACAAAACATGGGCTGAATAACCATCTGCAGTACTATTGGGCGCTTTTTATCAAGTGGGCTAATTGTTAGGTCCAGTACGTTAATAGCTACTTGGAGCATCACTGTTTAAAAAATAGTTAAAAATCATAAAGTATTTGATATTTAGCCATCTCAGTATCAACTGTAAATTTATAGGACTGAATCGAAAATTCTTGTTCTATATTTCGAAACTTCAAACATATCTGAAATTTGGAACTATCAAACCTAACTTCATATCCAAATACCTGAAGTAGTCACCAATTTAATACTCATAGAAAAAGACAACTTCACACTCCAAATATGATAACTTGACTAACTACTAAATAGAAAAATATTATTTCAAATAAAAACATAAAAGAGGCGTAGTTTTTTCACAATCCATAGAGGAATGTCTACAATCTTCCAAATAAAAATTTAAAACAAATGAGTATACATTTCACATTAAACCAACGTTCATGAATAAAAGCAACTTGTGAATCAAACAAGTATAGGGACAATTTTGCACATTTCGCAAACCACAAGGGTAAGTTTAAATATTTTGTTTATCTTTTATTTTTTGCGACTTTGTTAGCAATACTAGCAAATGTGTGTCAGTTCTATAACAATGAGAGTATATTTGACCCCAATGCTAAGCATAAAGCAAAAACAAACCATTTCTCAAATTACAAAACCAATTTTGAATCTTTTCCCTGAAATCTTTATATCAATTATTTAGTCGATTTGATTTGATTTTTCAATTAGAACACCCCTACCTGCTTTAATGGTAAAGCCTACAAAATGAGTTGCTGGTCATGTTCAATTGTAATTAAATAAAACCACATGGAAGAGTTAAATGAGCTATAGGACTAGCAAAAATGTCTTTGTCCAATGTAGCACATGACTGTGTTTCCTATTATATGATGTGTTATTGACTCTTGTCCATTTCTTGGCTGAGTAAGTGTATGGTCCTACCCCATGTGACTACATAATCCTAAATTGTCAAATCATTTATTACTTGGACTCTCTTCATTTAGAAAAAACAGAAAAGCAACAAACTATTGAGACATAGACTCCATATTTAGCAGGGGCCATACATGACAACGGAGTTAAACGGATCATTTTTCTTATCAGTATCGATCTGTATTATTTGTGTCATTGTATCTAGTACTTGTCTCATTTTATGTGATGGTATTTGATGGTTGAAGAAGCAATAAGATCACTTTGACGGAATTTTTTTTACTATGTTAATAGTATGCATAAATCTAGTTATCTGTAAGTTACCTTTATATTAATGACGACAATAATCATAATTACGTACAAAGTTGACTTGGGCAGTTCCACCAAATAAAATCCTACTAGTTGAAAATTGGAGAGGGCACTTTGCATGTGAGCATTAAAGGCCAAGAGATGCAAATTTCCAAAGCAAATTCTACCCACATACATTGCTAAAGTCTGATAGCAACGCCTGAGTGTATCATGTGAAGTTAGTAAGCAAATTGAAACTTTTCTACAATTGTGAATAATATGGGAGACTCCAGCATGTCACAGGGTGTATATCAAATCGGACTCTCATAATTCTGCTTTATAATAATATATGTATATACTACCTTCTTATTCAGATAGTACCCATAAATATCCTCCCCTAAAAATTGTTACATTTTAGCTCTAGCCTATGGGATGGAGTACTGTTTTCTCCATTCACTTTTAGTTGTCCACAGACCAGAATATCTTTTACACCTCTCATAGTGAGTAATTTTAAGGATAAAAATGCTAAAGTGAATTTATTTTTATAGTATAGCAGACAAGATAGTGAGTGTAATATTGTATGTAGAAGATATGGCTGGCTTTGATGTTTTCTAGATATGTTCGTTGACTTTGATTTAGGTCAAAGAGATTGTTGTTGCCTTTGTATTGTAGGAAACATCCAATTCGTCCAAGCTACGTGTATCCTCGATTTCATGCAGATTATACTCACATAGACAAAATCGAGATGAATTTAAATTTTGTCCATTACTATTTATACTCATTACTCTCCATTTTATGTTACTTGTATCCTGATTTTTAAAAAATTATTAAGAATATAATTTTATCAATGATGTTTTGGAATTCTAAATTTGATTATTAATGATTTATATTGTTATTTAATACTAAAAATAATAAAACTTTCTTAATTTGCTAAAATATATCAGTAAAGTGAAACATTTATTTTTTGGTGTAGTGATCAAGTATTGTATAAGATATTTTATGCCGTAACTCCTTATATTAAGTCGAATATACTTGCTGAAAATAGACAGAAAACTTAATATAACAAGATAAATTGCATTAATAATATAAAAATTCTCTGTAAGACTTAATTCCAGTACACGTCAGAGAATAAATAGCTTTCATAATCAAGCAAAGCACAAAATTCTTCTAGCTAATTTTTTGCTTTGCTTAATTATGAAAGTTAAAATATACACTAATGTTAAAAAGCATTGTGTACCAGACAAAAAATAAGAATGAGGATGACATCCATCCCTAGTTAAAATGCTACTACTAGTAACTAATTGGGAATTTGGGAGTAAGAAAAACAAAAGATAATGGAACACACCCCAAATAGAAAAGCAAAAACAAATCCTTCTAAATTAATAAATCGTCATTTTCATCAAACAGCCAACTCTCCAGCATTACTGACAATTGAATTTCATCATCTATTTCTCTTTTGCTTTCACCATGAAACTTACCAGCAGCTTCAGGTGTCGTAGCTTGAGAAAATTGATCTGAATTCGACGGTTCAAATGAAGACGAATATTCAGTCATGGCATTATTATTAGTATTACAAGAATATTGAGTACTTGACGAAGCCTTTGATTGCTCGGAATTATATGTGGAATCGCTTCTGGTCCATTGTTTGAGTAATTTGGCTATGTTTTCAGCATTTGATGCGTAAGTAGTAGTAGACATTTTTGCTTCTTGTTTGATGTATGGGTAACATCCAATATCAGTAATTGTATAGTCAGGAACTGGGCTTGATTTATCGAGTGACAGTGCATTTTGTAAAGCTTGTTTGGCTGTGTTAATATCAGCTTGAAGTGTCCTTTCCCATTGGCCTCTGGAAGTTGAATTATATGTTGATAAACAATGTCCATCATTTGAGTATAAATCACTTGTTTCAAGCTTCTTCAGTTTCTTCTTTAAATGAGTATTCCAGTAATTTTTAATGTCGTTATCTGTTCTCTCTGGGAGATATGAAGCTATGGCTGCCCATCTGTTAAAAGAATACAGAAAATCAGTAACAGCTAGGGGAAAAACAGACTACTACTAGTGGTACTGTATTATTTAGGAAATAATTACTCTTAAAAAATTTCCATAATGAAAAATTAATACATCAAGTGACCATCCAGATCTACATATAGTAATTTAATGTCATGACATGTTTAAGACCGTAAATGGAATAAAGTTACCTTTAGTATATACCAGAAATTGGTATTTCTATTTTAAAACTCTAACTCATTTTTTTGTCAAATACCGTCATATGAAATGAAACAAAGAAAGAGGATCAAGATAGTAATGAAAGGAACATACTTGTTGCCTAAAAGAGCCTGAAGCTGGATAATCATCTTCTCATCTTGATCAGAGAAGCTACCTCTCTTGATTCCTGGTCTGAGATAGTTAGTCCACCTTAGCCTGCAGCTCTTGCTACATCTACGCAACCCTGCACATTAAAACAAACACTTATTACACTTTGAAATATCTGACATAGACAGACGATGAATCTAGCAAAAAAGAAATGAACCTGTATGAGTGGGAACAGTCCTCCAATTCCCTGGACCGTGTTCTTGAACAAAAGAGACTAGCATAATATCTTCTTCAGGAGTCCATGGTCCTTTCTTCACCCCTGTTTTATCACAACAAGGTGGTCTACCCATCTCTGTTTCTTGGTGCAACTCTCTTCGTAGGTATATTTTACTTCTCTTCTTGGAAAAAGCAGAGACAAAGGTCTAAGGGGCTAAGGTTGTTTGATCTGGGATATATAGAAAGAATTGAAGAAGACTTGCCAATTCAGTGAGAGAGAGAATACGCTGACCCCTAATTTAATGCTCCCTCTCTCCGCCTTTCGAGAGTCAAACTTTTTATTTTTGATCATAAATTCACACTACTATAAGTCACAAAAATGGATAATTTAAAAGACATAGTAAAAAGATTGGGATCAAAAGAAAAACTTGTTGGACTCTTGAAATTCGAAAAATGTCACATAAATTGGAGTAGTGCATAGGAGGGGCTGAGGGGTAGTGAAAGAGTCAAAAGGTGACAGCAAGAGCATTTACTCCTCCCATGGGAGCCTCAGCCTAAAGTCAGCTGCCCTGTTTCTCTCTCTGCTTCCTCGAAACCGCGTGGGCATTCAATGTTCACCCTATCATTATTTCTTGCCATTAACAATCCTAATTAAGGCTCTCTGTATACTTTTTACTGCTTCATCAAATAAAGCAAAGTGCAGTAACACTTATCAAAAGCTTCGATTCATCGTAGTTTGAATAAGTCTAACCTACTCTGTACCAAGATATATAGTTGTTTCCCACTTTTCTTCACTGTGTTCTTCTGTGCCATGAACATGGAAATAATAAACTTTCAGTGTAGCTACAGAGTGATGAAATGAGTGTGTGTTTTATTTTGTGTTTAGGTAACACCAGCATCCTGCTTATAGCGAGGTCCAAGTGATGGAATTGGGATGTTAACAAATCACAACTAGGGTCATGGTTGAACATGACATGATTTGATAAATTTAGTTAAGAAATAAAGTTGCGATCTTACTTTTGCATAAAGTTTTGGACCAACAGTAAAATTATTTCTATGTGATTTATAGATCACATTTCAAGCTAGTAATGCCTGCAATAGGACAAACTGCCTATATTCTTGAGATCTAGTACTCTCTCATATCCATTTTATATGACTGGATATTATTAAACTTGCTTAATTTTCTAACTTTTAAAAATAAAATTTATATAAGTAGAATGTACTTACTACTATAAGTAATGAGTAAGAATTAGTACAAAGATATTTAAATGAATCACGAACAGTGCCACACAGAAAAGAGGGAGTAGCAGTGTACATGGCACATGCATGTAATAAGTCACTTCATATCTAATGCATGAAAATGACATAATAGAGGAAAAAGGGACAATGGCATTCATATGCGTATTAATCAGCCGGACGGGCCTCCAATCGACGATCAAAGCAGACGGTGAGTGCCTTTTTAAATTTATTAATGGAAGGCTACCCACTATTAACACTAGCATTCATTCACAAGCCAAAAAATATCAACCGGACTTCCGGGTCCGGGTTGGGCTTGTGATTTGTGAATGACGTCCTGTCATTAGCATATAAGCCCTACGAATTGAGTGTCAGCACCTAAGAAGATAGCCGACCTCTTTCGAAACACTTTTTTTTTCAAAATTCATAAAAAGAGTTGGTTATAGGTGTTGCTTTTCCCTACCGATGATGTGCCAAGAAGTGCATTATTGGAACTGGGTTGGAACTTAAGACCATAAGGTCTAAATTTTTTGAAGAATAATTAAACCAATTTATTTTGATTTTGATAATTATTTAATTCATATGTAATGAAATTTTTAATCATAAAGTTATAAGAATAAATTTTACAGATAGCTAAATTAGGTGTGTTACATTGCTAGTTACATTCATGTAGGGGAGCTAATAAAGAATTGTAGAGAGCATTATAAAGTTTATTGTGTTTATGAATAAAATGGGAAACTAAAGTACAGACTGTCTTATACACTCTAATAATATATGTTCTTGCTAGTTGTGTGTATATTTTGTAAACTAGATGAGGGGATGAAATTTGGCTTAAAAAACTCCTAAAATATTTTCCTTCGGTTGGTGTTGGAGATAGTCCTTGTCATGGATTTAGAAACATAGCATGGTCAGGGCTATCGAGCTAAAATCTAAATCATATAGAAAATTTCTTAGTGATAGCCGATAGGTCATCCATTACGTCAAACCACTGCAAACTTCTTTGCATTAAATTTCTTATGAAAAGAAATAGAGGTATGTCTTTTGACCAAAGTAAGCCATTATTTAAATCAATTCATTAAAATTATATGTTTTTTTGAAAATTTACAGAACTAGTATAAACGTATTCCTCAGTAACGTTTTAGGCTATATTTTATTAAAAAAATTCTGACGCATAAAATATATGGGCTGACGATGTTAAATAAAGAAATGTTATTGGTGGTAACGTTTTAAGCATAAAACGTTACTGCCAAATATGTTTTATGATTCATTACTCGGAGGCACGATTTACAGCTAAAACGTTACTCACAGTGACGTTTCTTTAAAATTCAGACAGTTGCTTAGTACATTTTTTGTTAATGTATCAGTTACTTTTTAACTGTTCACGGATTTTAATTGTGTTAGTTGAAAGGATCTAATAATTCTAAAAAGTGGAGAAATTAAAATATTCACATATAAAAGAATTTTTGAATTCTTCCAAGTGTAGAAAAAATTTACGTGTTCAAGAAATAATTTATAGAAATATTTTACTGTCAGTCATGCGATTTTTCGATCGCTGTCTCACCCACAATTTCCATATATATATATCCAACATTTGTTTTCAAGTAAGTTACTTCAAGATTTTCTAAATATCAGCTCTCTCTATCTATTAAATTTAATTTTTTTTAGTGATGTCTTCAATTTGAGGTAAATTTTAATTTAATTTATTTTAAAATTTTGAGAATTAATTATTAATTATTATTGTTTTGTAAAAATATTTTTCTTTAAATAGTCATATTAACATTAACAATTTTTTGATTTTTTTAGAGAAAAATAAATTTCATCACTTTAGATTCTAATTATTAGGATTCTCGATGGTTTTCGATATTCATTTGCCTATTGGTTCTTTACTCTCCTATTCTCTACATGTATAATGTTGGTTTTCTAACTCGAGAGTAATTTTCTCTCGCTAGGGTATTAATTTGAGGTGGTAATTTATCACTATAATTTATCGAACACTTGGCGGAAAATTGAAAGAAAAATCATCACTTTTATTTATTTGTTTTATCCTTTTTTGTTCACTTGATTTTCACAAGAAAAATCCAATAGAGCATGGTTATGCTCAAAAACATAGCTTATTCAAAAGGGACAAGAACGGAAAAAATAATCGTCGTGCATTGTTGGTATCTTGGATTGAAGTTAGCTTACAACAACTAATTGAATGGATACTAACACAACTAAACTTCGTAAACAGTTAAAAAGTAACCGACACATTAACAAGAAACGTACTAAAAAAAACTAAAAGTCTATGTCTGAATTTTAAAGAAAATGTTACTACGAGTAACGTTTTAGCTATAAAACGTGCCTCCGAGTAACGAATCATAAAACATATTTGACAGTAACGTTTTATGCTTAAAACGTTACCACCAATAACGTTTCTTTATTTGACGCCGTCAGCCCATATATTTTATGCATCACATTTTTTTTAATAAAATATAGCCTAAAACGTTACTCAGGAATACGTTTATACTAATTTTGTAAATTTTCAAAAAAAACATATTATTTTAGTAAATTGATTTAAATAATGGCTTACTTTGGTCAAAAATTCACTATGTGACAAACATGCAACCTGCAGTGTTTGCGATCTTTTTCAACTTAAAAAAATACAAGTGTGAGGGCTGAGATCGATTACAAATTTTAAAATTATGGGTTTGAAATTAGTATAATACTGTATGTATTTTAAAATATATGCGTCAGTCAAGTTGTGGGAATTGTGGAGTCAGCAGCAAGCTCAATAAGTAATAAGGTGTAACCCATTGGAGTTGCATCTATCCACCATAGTATGTTCTCCGGATTTTGTTTGATTGTGTACCACCTAATTTAATATGGTATCAGAGGAGCAGGGCCCATCTCATTTAATGTTGGGGTCCCAAAAATCAAAATTGTCCAAGCACTAAATGCTAAGCACTGCGCGAGGTGGGTGTTAAAGAATGACAAAAGTTTCACATTGGTGGTTAATGAGATGGATGGACTCCTCATAAGGCTTGGGTAATCCTCCTCTCTTGAGCTTTGAGTGTGAGTTAGGCCCAAGACCAAATTTAACATATTGATATGATGCGTTATGGTTATCTTCTCGATTCCAGCAACCAGCAAGTATCTTGCGAGTTATTTCCTATACGGTCATTCAAGTATTGAGAAAATCCAACTAAAGTAACTTTTGAATTTTTCTTTCCTATAAGATCAATAATACTTGAATGACATATAATTGGGAATTAACTCCTGCTCGTTATGCTGTATGTGAATATAATTAGTGGAAGTGGACTATTATTCGAATGGGTTTCGCTCATTTTTCAAGGAAATTTGTTAGAGGGCTTTTTCATTCTTCAACTTGGACATGAGAAAATGAGGAATTTAAGTGGGTTCACATTAGTGGAGCATTCTCAATAGGCCCCTTAACTATCTACAAATTAAAGTTTTTGTTCTACTTCATCTCCACGAGCCTGTTATATTTGGCCCAAGTGCAAAAATATCACTTTTTTGGAGTTGCTATTTTGATTGTACTCGATATTGGTGAAACCCCTTTTTTTGCTAACACATCCAATTTGGAACCACTTTAGATATATCAGATTGAAGTTTGGAAATTCACGTGTGAAGTTTGATAAATTTGAAATTTTTTTTTTGTTTGAAGTGTGTCTTGTTAAAGATGAACATCAAACATTTTTACCTAAACTTTAACATAATTTTGCCAAATTAAGGCCAACTTCAAATACTTTTGAATGAAGTTATTGACTTGGTAAGGTCAAACTTCAGGCATTTCTTTTTACTGAAGTTGTGGCATTGGTAAGGCCTACTTCATACATTTTTTCGACTGAAGTTACGAACCTGATCTAATTTCAAACATTTTGGCATGAAATTAAGGTGAATAATTTTTTGCTTGTGCAGCTAAATTAATTAACCAATAACAAAAAGAATGTAGCCGGTAGAATTTTGTAAGTGTAATATGAAAAAGATAGGATATATGCCTATTTTCACTTAAAAGA